AACCATGACTGTTCATGTCCATCATTTCTTTAAATATTAAGGTTTCAAAAAATATAATGTCCTCAAGGCTGAGCACTAATATATTTATGTTAGCAGTCATTTACAATTGAACAATGCAGGTCCTCCGGCCATCTGTTTAGCAATGGGAGAAACTCTTGTGAAACCAACGTATACTCATCTGGTGATGCTTTCTCTCCCCCTGATTTTGAAGCATCCAACAAAATTCTTGTTTGTTGTTGTTCTTTACTGTATTAATAAGCAAGGTCATTGCTAAGTCTCATAATAGTAGATAAAGTCTGCAACAAATGTCATTTGTTTTTCTTGGACTGAGTGACTGGAAAGAGTGAGTGGACTGAGCAAGCAAGAAGGCTTTGCATGAGGCATTTCTATCAGGCAATAAAGAGGTGGGTTTGTGTTTTTAACCGATTCTGTGGCTTGTTTGGAAGTTTATTTTCCCTATTTTTTTTTCATTTGAGTTTCTGTTCTTTTCTAGGCTGTTACGTCACTTGACTATTTTAGCTGGAGATGTGTATGATCTGTCTCACCAGCTTTTGTTCTCTGTTTGCTTAGCAACCTGCTATTGTGATAGCTTTTTAAAAACTTGTGTGTGGAGCCTTGGTAACTGTGGCTGCTGAATCACCTGACTTGACCTGCTATTAGAGCTGCCTGTGAGTGAGATGAGGCCACCGTCCGCATGGGGATCTTAATCAGAGCGAGTGAGTGCTATAGCTTTCTGTGTTCTGGAAGTAAGTGACTGGAAGGAACAAAGAGGGTAAGAAAAAAGCAGAGGGGCTTTGCAAGAACTAGAGTTTGCCAGGTGTCAAGAGGACCGGGAGATGGCTGTGCTTCCCTGGGGCTTTAGGTGAAGAGGTAAATTTTAGGCCAAAAATTGCTAGAGGAAGAGAGGATTTTATTTCTAAATGAATGTAATAATAATAATGGTGTGTCATGAAGTCAGTTCAGAGTTATGGCAACCCTTTTCAGAGTTTTCTGGATAGAGAGTCCTCTGAAGTGATTTACCATTCCCTTCTTCTAGGGGCATCCTTGGAACTGTGTAGTTTGCCCAAGGTCACACAGCCTAGCTGGCCTGGGAGGCACGGCGGGAAATGGAACTCTTAATCTCTGGCTCTGCAGCCAAATACCGAACTCACTGACTGAGCTAAAGCTTGGGTATAAAACCTGGGCCAGAATGAAGATAACCATTGTGCTGGGGCATTCATACTCCTGCTAAAAATCATGGCCCCCCCGTAGTTGGCTCTAGATTGCCACATTACCTTGTTAGCCCCATTTTACACACATTTCAGGCCTATCTACCTAGGTCTCCACCTTGTACCCCTTTGCAGAATTAGCTGGCCTAAAAACAGTCCTAGCTCCCATCCCATCTCTTGCCTGCTCCATCCCTGTGACAATATAAGGTCAAACCCATTGGTTTCGGCTGAAATTTTAGGGACTGGGCTGCTGCTGACCTGCCAGTACTCCCGGGCAAAATTGAGCGAGAATCCATGAACAGTGTCCATTGGTATGGCTGTCACTATGGTCATGGAGAGAGTTTGTTCCAGAATCTTGCAGGGTGTGTACTGAGGACGACAGGAATTATACCTGCTGCCGGGATAACCTAGTAGATGCACTGGAAGAAAAGATGAAGTGGTTCACTAACCAGATAAACTGGCAGAGGGGAGAAAAGGTCAGTTTTTGATGGCTACGGAAGCAGTAAAATGTGCCCTTGTGTCATCAGGTAAATGAGCACCCAGGTTTTAAAATCCCCTCGCATGCGGAAATAAAATTTCTGAGCTTTTCCAGTTCTGTATTGCTCATTCTGAGATTTGTCTCCATACCTGGAGACCTGAGAAAGAATAGCAGGTCCCTAATATTTCAGCCAATGCCCAGGGATCTGGCAACATGAGTCAGGAAAATTTGACCTTTTGGAGCTGCAAAACAAATACCAGGTCCTTCTTATGGCCACCTGAAGGTGAAACACAATCTTACACACTGCAGAACACTAAGGAAGAGTGTAAACGGCTCACAGGCTTCCAGTCATGATTATGGTTAAGATAGTCCAAACTTTCAATGGCAATATCCTGCACCATCTTCATCAGGGAAGGCAAGATGTCAACTCAAACAAAGCTCACCTTAAACACCTCCAGATACAATCAAAACCAGCTGGGTGAACATTCAGAGCAAACCCAGGCAGATTAACATTGAAGAGCTAGTCCCCCACCTTGACCAGCGTTATATAAGGGCAACCAGGAGGTGAGGTTGAGGAGCCTAACACCGAGGGAGGCCCGGAAGGAGAAGACAAGAAATCGGGCCTTCTCGGTGGTGGCTCCTCGCCTCTGGAACAACCTTCCCCCGGAAATTCGCGCGGCCCCCTCGCTGGGTATTTTTAAAAAGCAATTAAAGACAATGATGTTTCGGCAGGCCTTCCCCCCCACCCCCCCTTAGCTAATCCTGATTTTCCTTTTTTCTTTTTCTTAGTTTATAATTTCATGGTTGAAAGTTTTCTTCTTTGTAAATTCGTTTTTAGTTATTGTTGTACCCCTGTTGTGAGCCGCCTAGAGTGGTCTATTGACTAGATAGGCGGGATATAAATAAAATAAATAAATAAAATAAAAAAAAATAAACCTACCAAGTCTATCCAGTTTACAAAACAAAGGCTTCTAGCAAGCACTAAAAGGAATGCCACTATCTCAGCTGATGGAATGTGGCTCCAGATTTATCAAGAGAGGCTCAATAGTAATTCTATCCCAAAATCGACTAGTTTGGGCCAATACTTGTACTCCATTCCATTGGGGCTGATGACCATCCTTGATACAGTGCTCAGCCACTCCAGATTTTCAAGCTGTTGTAATCTAACATTTCATGAATGTTCTGGGTTTGTTCTGAATGTCCAGCTGATGGAATGTGGCTCCAGATTTATCAAGAGAGGCTCAATAGTAATTCTATCCCAAAATCGACTAGTTTGGGCCAATACTTGTACTCCATTCCATTGGGGCTGATGACCATCCTTGATACAGTGCTCAGCCACTCCAGATTTTCAAGCTGTTGTAATCTAACATTTCATGAATGTTCTGGGTTTGTTCTGAATGTCCACCCAGCTGATATTGATTACATCTGGAGGTATTTAAGGTTAGCTCTGTTTGAGTTGGTATCTTGCCTTCCCTGACAAGGATGGCATAGGATATTGCCTTCAAAAGCTTAGACTATTTAAACAATAAACATGAACTGACATGACTGGAAACCCGTGAGCTCATTACACTAAGTGTTCATCGTAAAAGACCGAAATCCCTAAGTGAGGAAGAGACTCAGGGTCCACATGAATAGCTGAGATCAATGTAACCACTTATAGGAGGTGAGGCATTTGTTACAGATTTTGTACACAGAAGGATGGTAGCAATTATCTGTGTTCATGTGCCATCTTGGATCTGCTCCCTTCCTGAAATATGCATTGAAGATGTGATCGAGAGACAATCAAGGTGTACCAAAATAAATGAGTATCTTCTCCTCCCAATCTGAGTGAGAACAAGCAATCCAGCCAAAGAAAACATTGAATGAAAGCCTTTTTTTTTTTTCAGACTTTAAACTTCTCATTTTGGAATGATTGGAATGGCAAAAAAGAAATCCCTTCTGTTTGGCCCCCACCTGAAGGGGAAGCCAGAGACAAGTTCCCTGCCTGCTTTTCTTCCTCCATAGCAACCCTTTTTCTGGATTTTCATTCAATCCATGTTTATACACTTTATTAGTATAGGAAAAGATTAATAAAAACATTGGAATGAACTGACTTACTGAACTATTCTGAAATCTAGCTGCTCATATACATTCTTATCCAGAAAACAAGGTCAGATGAAATAGCTAGATTAATGAGCTGTACATATGAGCCATTATTCTGCTCTGCTGGAAAAAAAAAACCTGTCCCTTTAGGTGAGGCTGTGCATATTCATCGCAAGAATGTTCGATGCATTCTCTTGTTCACATGCACAGCACTGCTGTACGGTGTGCACATGTTTGTGAGCTGAAAGAAACTGAATTTCTGGGTTATCTGTTGTTTAGCATTGGCAGCCAAACTGGTGAGGGATGAGCAGTGGGGTTTTATTCTGTTTTTCTTTGGCCCGCATCCTTCCCTTCAAAGCATTTTCTTCCTTATTCTGTAGCTTACTGTGTCACAGGGTTGGGTCTTCTACATTACAGATAACAGGGCTATAGTCCTGCTTAGAAGAAAGGTGCCCCAACAGACCTAGGCATAGAGCAGGCAAAATTAGCTCCGAATTTGTGCTTTTTGTTTACATGTGGATAGCCATTTCCCATACTGAGACATAAGCTGTTTGAATTCTATGAATGTTCCCTGAGCTTGCTTAATCTCTCAGAATTCCATCATCCCATCTGTCATTTATTACTGACTAGTAAAATGCTTTCTGTTTTGATGGTTGGCAAAGGGGTTGGGGGAAGGGAGGAGAGATGCATTTTGGGGGGTTGTATTTTACAAGGATCACAGAGGAGTGTTCAGAGACAACTGCAGACTTTCCGTCTTCTCCCTTTCCTCCTGCCTACTTCCTTTCCCTCATTCTCCCCTGACTTTCTCATCCATGATGGCCATTGGAAGTTGAGGCTGCTATTTCCGGGCTAAACAATGATTGCATGCCTTACTACTGGGCCACAAAGGTGCATGACAGCTTTTAAAAGGAAAGGAAGGATGGGTGGTTCTGAGTAGAAAAACCTGCAGATGAGGTCTCCCTCCCCCCGATCCAAACTATGCCATCAACTATCCATATATGTGCCAGTGAGTGTAGACAGGCCCTATAGTTTCCCCACAGATGTAATACTTTGAAGTGACCAGGCATCTCCCTGAAAGGAGAGCATTCATACATCTTACCCTTGATACTTCTGGAATATAATTTCAAAACAGAAAAAATGTTCCCAATAATTTGATATAGCTTTACTTTAGAAAAAAAATCACAGAAAACATGCATGCAAATACCCAGTAGCTACAGTTTTGAAAACCTGCCTTGTGTACTGTGTGAGATTTGTCTGAAAATAACTCATTAGCTCAGAAGTGTTGATCCTTGTAGAGGGGAATCATGAAATGTTGCTTATCTAGTGCAAATACTGCAACACTGGGTGCTGAAACTGTGTGTTTGTGCAGGGGGGCGGTGTAGCCAAGAGAAGTCACTGTTCCTGTGCCTCTAGTTGTAGCTTCAATCAGTCTAAAGGAAAATAAAAGATAATTGTATCTCTTTAACTAAAAAGTGGCAGCATTTTCTTTTATGCAGGAGGCAGTTTATAATCTAAAAGTAGTCTTTCATTTTGCTGCCCCCCAAAATGCAAACAGAGCATGCTTTCTCCTTTGCAGTCTTTGTCCAAACACTCACTGAAGCTTGATTCTTCCAAACAGAATATGATCTGTCTTTCGAAAGGACCAAATCGCTACATGACACTCCTCCTCCAAAAGCCAGCAGTTCAGGGCTGCTTTACATATTGGCAGGATTACTGCCAGTTTAAGTGCTGGCCCTTGCTACTCTAGAAGAATCGAACACTTCTGTGCCCATGTTTCAACTGTATGTCTATTCACATAATGTGCCAGCAGTACTTCTCCTGAGTGAGCAAAATGGACACTAGAAGCAGCCCCTAAAGCTAAATCAAATGAACAAACTCTTCATGCAGAAGTTTGAATGAAAGGTACAGAAGGAAGAGGAGGGTAAGGGTAGCAATTCCGTGTCATCTGCAAAGGAGAGATTTGCATAAGCTATGTGTGCAACTTTGCTGTACACCTTTCTTCTTTGGATGAGATCAGAATTTGGAAGTTACTAATTAAAAGTAATAAGTTATTTACATTTAATTACTCTTTGCAATAACTAAGACTTAACTAAGTCACGTTACAGTTGTAACACAGGAGGGTAACTTACACCTTTTGCAATGTGACTAAAACAGGTTTATTTACTTATACAATTATAAGATATATGGTCCCCCTACCTGCCTTCTACCACAGGTCACCAGTTTGTAGCATTATGATTAATTACTTTTAAAAAAATAAGTACTGTAATTTCATGTACTTTTCAGTAACAAGATGAAAGGAAGACTTGTATTTCAAAATTGTAGGCATTAACAACTATTACTTTCCAGGCCTTGAAATAGTAACTACTTATCTTTTAAAAGTAAATTCCTAAGTTATGGATGAGATGTAGACTGAAGTTCTGTTCATAGTTTAAGCCCAAACGTAGTATTCTGTCCATTCTTCCCTGGTAAACACACTTGTTGCTACAATTCAGGAGGGGGACATGATAGTATTCTGTCCATTCTTCCCTTGTTGCTACAATTCAGGAGGGGGACATGCATGCACAAAACCAACATTTGTCTACACCTCTGAGAATTTCAGCAGTGGCAGTTTGTTTACTAGGGGAAAATGCATGGAAAGTTACACTTGGACTTATGCAATGCACATGTACTAATCTTGGAACTTATAAATTTATATGCTTATTGCCTCTTACAGATGATAGAGAATTGAAGCTCCTCCTCCTAGTGTTGATCGTCTAAACCCAAAACCAGATTTGAGGTAGTGGGCTAATCTTGCAGCATCTGAGCAGCAAAACAGACCTTGCTGTGGATTAGGATATGCTCTGCATGCCTTTTTAACAACCTTTTAAACTTAGGTTTAAAGACACATGGACATGCATATGTCATGTTGTGGGTTTTTTGGGCTCTTTGGCCGTGTTCTGAAGGTTGTTCTAACTAACATTTCGCCAGTTCTGTGGCCGGCACAGTGCTGTCCTCTGAAGATGCCAGCCTCAGAGACTGGTGAAAAGTTAGGAAGAACAGCCTTCAGAACACTGCCAAAGAGCCCTAAAAACCCACAACAACCATTAGATCCCGGCTGTGCAAGCCTTCGCGAATACATGAAAATGTCAGTTCCTCACTTTGCCCATTTTCCATTATGTATGATTTATTTGATTATTTTTTAAAAATAATTTACAACAAATTATTATGCATTCCACAGAAAACAGCTAGTGTAATGTCACTGTTTCTCACAGCAGTCATAAGGCATGGCACTCTTCCCAGTTATTTTGCAGGGCAGTTTTCGCTTTTCACTCTGTACCTTTAAGTATCCAAGTTGTGTAAGTATCTTATTTTGCACAATACCAGGTTTCCTCATTGCAAAGGAGCAAATTCCCAGAGAAAAGAGCAGGAATTTCCCTTTGGCAAAATCCTTAGGTCCGGCTTTGAGGACAGCAGTGAGAACAGAACAGGAAATCATTGTTTATAAAAGGAAACAAGGAGATGATACTCTGCTATGAAATACATTTTAAAAATAATAATAATTATAAGAGCTAATGTTTGGAAGATACATTTTAAAAATTATTGGAGCTGAAGATGATGCTCCTAGCCCAGTAGGTCTTAAATTTGGGGCCCCAGATGTTCTTGGACCACAACTCTTAGAAACCAAAGCCAAGCCAATGGTCAGAGATTCTGGGAACTGTAATCCAAAGAGTCCCATGTTTGATAATCACTTCTAGTTGCATTTTTTGCCCCATGCAGGATGCCTTATTTCAGTGTTTCTGTGTAGGCCTGCCTTGCAAAGCTAGGTGTAAAATCAAGGCAAAGGATGCATGGCCCTCCATGAATGTTAGTGAGGGAAAATGAAATAATGTCCAGCAATGTTTGGCGGGATGTGCCTTGTCCTGAACCATTATGAAACCAAACTTAATCTTCCCCATCACTAATAAATTGTAATTAGTCTTTCCTTCAATTAGTGTGAAAAGCTTTGCTGGAGAAAAAAGGCGTGTGCCAGCAAGGAAGAGACTGAGCTATTTTTTGTGATCTTTGGTTTGGTGCAATGTCCCACCGTAGTAATTGAGGAGTTCCTTCTGGTTGAGAGCCTTCAGTGGATAGTGAGGGTGGTTAGGTGTGCCTTCCTTCTATTAACATTAATAATAATAATTGCATGTTGTTAAGCCATTTCTGACCTATGGTGACCCTCTTCAGAGTTTTCTGGGTACACGGAAGCGATTTACCGTTCCTTTCTTCTGGGGGCACCTTGGGACTGTGCAGTTTGCCCAACGCCATATAGGCTGGCTCTTCTCCCAGCAGGCATTGTGGGGATTTGAACTCCCAACCCCTGGCTTTGCAACTAGATACATGAATCTCAAATATTGTGATTGGAGTACTGTCAGGCACTGTGTATAGGATTGCCAGAGGACCGAAAAGCTTGCTTTGTGGACTTCAGCTCCCAGAAACATCTAGCCAGCATAGTCACTGGCCAGGGGATTTTGGAAACTGTAGTCCAAAAAAGCAAATTTTCTGAGCTCTAGCAGTTGCCTCGAAGACAAAATACGAGCTTGAGACCGGAGCCTTTTTGAACAAGCACATCATTCTGCTCCTGCCACAATTTCCCTTCCTTGCTGATTAATTGTTGGGTGCAATTCAGTGTTTTGGTTGCCATTTCCAAAAACTGAAACAATTTAAGACGTAGATGGCCACTTTTTTTCTGTGCATTTAGCAGAAGACTCCCTTTTTTTTTGTGCCGTTGCTGCCTAACGTGCAGTTGCTGCAGGCCAGGTGAACGGCCTTCAGCGTGGAATGTGCTGTGCCAAGGGATTCACCTTGCCCCTCATTTAATGGTTTTCCACTGTTATAAAAAAGGAATTTTTTTCTTTTTAGATAAGTGTTTGGTTTGCTATCTATTTGTTTTGTCTCGCTCCCTTTAAGAAAAAATCTGCTCTGCTGTTTAGGTTTGTTTTTTAATTGGATCACTGTTTTCAATGTGCTTTTCCCGCTTGTGCCATTTTTAAACAAAATTTTGGAAGCTGCCTTGGCTTTCTTTCTTGTTGTTGTTAGTGTAGAAAGGTGGAGCAAAAAAAAAAAGTCTTGTACATAATAAACAAAAAAGGCCCACCCATAAAATGGAGGATATGGATACAGTATCCAGCATAAACAGCAAAGGGCACTGACATACTTTGCCAGAAACTGTGGTAGTACTTTGTCCCAGCCACATCAAACATTGTTTCCACTAACCTTTGTTACTAATAAGCTCTGTGTCACACATATAACATTTGCCCAGTGGAATACTGCTTGTTCACAGAAAGAGTCAGCTTTTTGTTTTATGCCTCTCTTCCTTTTAAAATGTAAAACATGCACACATTACCTTGAGATTTTTTCCCCCTTCCCAAAAGACACCCACCTTCTGTGGGAGCATGGCTTTGAAGTGCAAAAGGCAAGCAGCTGCTGTGAAGCTGTAAAAATCCCAGCAGTGCTTCGATGCTCCTGGCTCGGATGTACAGTAATGCATTTGTGGTTGGGGTGTGTGACAAGATGGAAGAGTTGGCAGAATCCACGTACCTGCCTGGAGGCTTGTCAGCTTCCTGTCCTCAGAACTTCTCCACTTGTGTAAGCCATCGCTTCCATCCATTCTCCACCCGTCTCTGAGGGAAGAAGGAGCAGCCCAGCTTGCTAGGTGGTTTCAGCCTTTCTTCGGGCCCTGCTTGCTTTGCCTCAGCAGCCAGTGTGCAAAGTGTGTGTGTGTGTGTGTGTGTGTGTGTGTGTGTGTGTGTGTGTGTGTGAGAGAGAGAGAGAGAGAGAGAGAGAGAGAGAGAGGACATTCCGGCAGGCTGCTTTCCTGCAGCTGAGGAGACGACATTCGTGGACCTCCTTTTGATTAGGATATGTCCCTGTTGTCAGGGCAACTGTTAACGGTGGCGTATCATATTTTCTTCTCTTGGGTTGCGTGCTGAATCTTTCAGAGTGCAGGAGCTGTAAGGAAGCTACAGGGAGAGGAAAAGGTGCTGCATCAGAAAGGAAAGAAGACATGGGATCTGACTGAACACGTCATAGTAGCAGGAGGAGACATCTGAACAAATGGGCCTTTAATTAAGTCCTCTTTTTTTTTCCTTGTCGAGGTGGAGGAGACTGCAGGCCCTTTTCTGCCAAGTGAATGTTTGTTAACTGTTTGCCACCTCTTTGCAGGCTGCCTAGCCCTACGGGATCTCTTACAAATGACAAGCTGCTCTGCAGCTAGCTAGCTGCAAAGTGGGGTCTGGAACTGAGAGTAGTGGAATAAAGGAGAAAACAGCAGTATGCCTGGTTCAGCTACTGCTTTCCGACAAGAGAGGCTCAAGAAGGCAGGTGTGCGGCCAAATACACCTGTTCTGTTTACCATTAATGAGGAAGATGAGCAGCAAAAGAACAGCCGCTCCAAGAGACCCAAAGGTATGTGTTGCTTATGCAGGCAACCAGGGCCGTCTGTAGGATATGTAGCTCAGCAAATCGTGTTTTGCTGATACCGGTTGTGACCTATCTGTTCTGTATTTCAGTGACTTTTTTCCTTCGGTGTGCTAAAATATTACTGGTATTATGCATTCTGAGTTGTTAAGTGTTATGAGCTACCTCCTGTTCTAACATGTTTGCCACATTAAAAAGCTAACTTTTTGGCCACACTGGCTGTTAAAGATGAAATGATGGTAACAGAAAGATGGATCTGTTCATGCTTTTAGAGGGAAAGTGATTCTTGTATTCCTTTTGGTATATGCTAAGAAGAATAAGGCATTAAAAAGGAGAAACTAGAGATTCACAGAAGAAACTACAGCGATGTGACATTTGCTGCTGGGGTTTTGCAATAGGTTGCTATAAGGGACACACGTTCTCAAATACTTTAAAAATTTGGCTCCAAAATTTTACTACCTTTAAACTGGATTCTATAAACCCCCATACTTTGGAGTTAAAGTTTTTCAATAGTATGCTTGTCAATATCTTATTGTAGCATCTATGACAAATCTTCCCTTCTTCCAGAATTTTAGTTTTATGTTACCTGCCATTAGTTTTTTTGCTGTCACTTGTACCAGGGTTGCACTGTTATAATTAATCCTTTGGATCGCCAGCTGTAATAAGTGAAGATATTAAGTTGAAATTGCTTCTGAATAGCATTCTGAAATCATGGAAAAACAGCTGTCAAATCTGAGATGGTATTTACCAAGGAGGCTGGACTTTTATACATTTCACTTGTATTGTTGATTTTAGTGGTTGTTTATTTTCCTTTCTCAGTCAGCCAGTCAACTAAAAGGAGAGTTTTCTTGGCAAATATTTGCAGATTTAAATAGTGTTAATGTTTATCTTGAGCTAGTTTATTTGAAAGTGATAGTTACTTTCATCTGAGCCACTAAATAGTTAACTTCCAAGAGTCTACCTTTTTAAAACTGTGAACTATAAAATGTCTATATGTTTGCTGAGAAATGATTGTAAAAAAATCTGTTCAGGGTCCTTCATGTCTGTACTTGTTAGATTTTTTTCCCCCTTGAGTCTAGCTATTTGAGGTTTTTATTTCTGTAGTTTAGCGTGTTTCATAATCATTGTAGAAATTTAAGAAGCAGTAAATTATATTCTCTGCAGTTACAGGGGGAAGTAAACATGAAGCCAATGAGCTGGTTAGCAACAGAGCCTTTGTGAACGTGTTTGGCTTAGTACTTTCTGGTGCCCAGGCCACAGGCTATTATCTGGACTTTGCTTCTGTATCAGAGTGCCCATGACAGTGTTCCCGTTGAAATGAATTTTGCTCAGAGCTGTAAACTTGCCGAATGGACTGCCCTAGAGCCTCCTGTGCTGCTCCTCCACCTTTTACAGCCAGCAGATAAGGACACAAGAACATTGGAGGGCAAAGGATGTCCTTCCTCTCTCTGCCTAGTTGGAGGAAGAAACATATCCCTGAAGGCTTCAGTTTAAAGTTCAGTATGTTTTACAATTATACCATAAATGTATAATCAAGCCATGGCAGATTTAGAAGGGAATAGGTTCCATTGAGATAAATGGTACTCACTTCTAAGTAATTTCTTGTGAAGACTGCAACTGATAAATGAATCAGAAATACAGTATGTATATCATCGTCGTCAGAGCTCACAGGGACGCCGTGCATCATCGAGTCTAGCCCCAGTCAAGGAGGCACATCAGGGGGAATCAAACTCCCAGCTTCTGGCTCCACAGCCAGATACCCAAACCACTGAGCTATCCAGCAGTTATGCTGCCGTTCAATTTAATTCTTGGAGTGGCTTGCATATAGAGCACATAAGTATGTTTTATTTATTTGTTTACTTGTTTATTTAAAATATGTTTACTCCACCTTTCTCCTTGAAAAGGACCCAAGGCGGCTTACCACAATGAAACACAATATTTGAAGTTGAAAACAATGAGTATACAATGGTGGTTAACATCATTAAATTACAATATTTAAAATTGCAAACAATGAATATGGGAAGGCTTACCTGAAGAGAACAGTCTTTGCCTGCTTGTGGAAGGACAGCAAAGATGGGGCCAGTTTGGCCTCCTGTGGGAGGGAGTTCCAGAGTCTGGGTGCAGCAACAAAGAAGGCCGTCTCCTTTGTCCCCATCAGACGCACCTGTGAAGGAGGTGGCAGGAGTGAGAGAAAAGCCTCTCCTGATGATCTTAACACCTGATCTGGCCCATAATGAGAGATACAGTCTTTGATATAGCTTGGACTGAGGCCATTTAGGGCTTTATAGGTTAAAACCAGCACTTTAAATTGTACCTGGTAACAGTGGAGTTATGTGATCCCTGAACCCGCCCCAGTTAGCAATCTGGCTGCTGCATTAGCAGGAGTGAGATAAAAGCCTCTCCTGATGATCTTAACACCTGATCTGGCCCATAATGAGAGATACAGTCTTTGATATAGCTTGGACTGAGGCCATTTAGGGCTTTATAGGTTAAAACCAGCACTTTAAATTGTACCTGGTAACAGTGGAGTTATGTGATCCCTGAACCCGCCCCAGTTAGCAATCTGGCTGCTGCATTTGGTAAGAGTGGAGTGATGTGATCCCCGAACCCGCCCCAGTCAGCAATCTGGCTGCTGCATTTTGGACCCCTTGAGGTTTCCTGACACTTTCCATTGGCAGCCCCACATAGAGCACTTTACAGTAATCCAGCCAGTAAGTAACTAGAGCGTCTGTCATTCACCAGTACACCTCATGATTGATTGTATCTATATTTAAACTTTGTTTCACTAAATTTAATGGCAATATAGGTGGTATTGTAAGAGATAGTCAAAAGACTACAAAGCATCCTGTAGCCATCTTAATGAAGATGTATTCAGTATTCCGATATGGTCATTTAGAGATAATTTCTGCGTATTTGTATAGGCCTTCAAGCTTATGTTTAAAAGGTAAACAGTAACCTCAAGATCCACCAACTACAAAATGGTGCAAAACGCAGGTGCACATATTCACGAATTCTCTCACACACATCCTACTTCTTGTTGCCCCAAATATTTTTGAGTGTAATTTGGGGAAGAGGAAGAATAATTTTGATGTGGATGAGGAGGATCAGGAGTCAGAAATTTTTATCATTCTAGTTCAGATCATCACAAATTCACCAGTAGGACGAAACCTATCATGTATCCACCTTGAATGGACACTCCAAATGCCAGTGCTCACATTCTTATTCATGTGCCAAAAATGAAAACTCATTGCTGATCACCTTATATTGTTCTTTGTCCTGCATAATGAACCCAGGGATGCTTGCTTGTTTCTTATTGTTGCTTGAATGTCAGCTGCTTGACTGACCAGTGACGCCTTTATTCTGACCAACTTGTAAGCTATTTATGCAACGTCCTCTATGAAGTTCAGTTTCCCAGTGTATTTGGTTGCAGTATTGTTTTGTGTTGTGTGTGTGTTTTAGTATAGTCATCTTTAAGTTGAAGCAGATGAAAAGTTTGTTTGACTCTGTAACAGCTGTTTTCTACTCGGCTTTCTGTCAAATATGTCCTTAGAACTCCGCATGCACCAAAGATTTGGAGTACAGTACTGATTTCTTTGATATACAGCGTCAGACAATACATGCACATTAAAACTGAGCTTTCAGTTGCTGCTGAAACCAGTGACTTTTGAAGCAGCACACACAGGCAGTGTCCCTGGCAAGCAGCTTGAATAAGCTAATCACAGATTTGTTTTTGCTGGAAGACTCTCATCTGATAAAGCATGACATCCCTGAATTTCAAAGGATGATCTAGGACAGAACCCTTTATCTAAATCCATTTTTTCCAACTGTTGCCTTCCTGATCCGATATATAATCTTCCAGACAATGTTCAGTGGACCACAGGACTGAATCTTCAGAACCTGGGAAGGTTATTTTTTTGGACTACAACTACCAGCTGAGATTCTGGCAGTTCTAGTCCAAGAAAGTAACTTTTCCAAGCTCTGTGCATCTCTTAGTTCCAACTCAATGGAACTTGACTTTGGAATGTTACTTTGGACACCAGATCTAGTGACATATGGTTGACACTTTTGATTTGTCAGTCTGTTCTATGTCAGCAGTCACTAAGCAGTTGGAGGGGAAAATAATTCTGATTTTTTTAAAACTTTGAAAACAAGGAGTGTTGAGCAGGTTATTCATTCACTACTACAGATATCTTTTGAATTAATTGAAGTACAGTGGTGCCTCGCTTAGCGATGTTAATCGGTGCAGCAAAAATCGTTGCTAAGCGATGTCATCGCTAAGCGATTTTAAAAAGCCCATAGAAACGCATTAAAATGCGTTTAATGCGTTCCTATGGGCTTAAAAACTAACCTTATGCGGAAATCCTCCATTGCGGCAGCCATTTTCGGTGCCTCTAAAGCAAGGCAAAACAGCGGGCGGCCATTTTGTTTACCCAGTGGCCATTTTGGAACTGCCGATCAGCTGGCTGAAAATGGGGGCTTTGCGATGATTGCTTCCCTGCGATCGTCGCAAAGCGAATTTTCCCCATAGGGACCACCGCAAAGCGATCGCTCTTGCGATGGCAAAAAGTCCATCGCAAAGCGATTTCATCGTTTTACGGAGCGATCGCTATGCGAGGCACCACTGTATTTCCCAATAGGCCCTTCACTTTTTATATTGTTACCTGTAGATGCAACTATAGTCCATAATGCCAAAATGGTGTATGTCCATCTATTGTTATTGCACTTTCCGTAACTACAAGGGCTTGAAATTTGAAATCTGGCAGGCCACAGCTATAACAGTACCATCATTGTTTTGACTAAAATTTTGCAAAGCCTGGAGAAATAAAGGCCTGTAAAAGTTGTTACATCAAGGTCCTGTAAAACCAGAGTACTGTAGTTACAGAGGGTGCAAGTTCTATGATCATATTAACACATTTTAACATCAATATGTTCTACTTATTTCAGTACAATTTCAATTCTGTCCTTTGTTTACACTTTATTATCATTTGTAAAACATGTTCAGTTGTCATAAATGTTATGGTAGAGTGACTGTGCTCAGCTGGAGAGTAGGCTAATTGTTTTACAGCATTTTTAGTAAGCTGCTGTTCAAGCCTCATTTTTAAAAACTCTTTCACTTCCATGTCTACTTTTGCTACACCCCACCTAAATGTTTTACACTCTATACACACAAAATTTCACATATTGCTGTGTAGGTCCTAGGCAGTGTTAATAGGCCATTGAGCAATGGAGCTTGTACTGCCGAGCTGCTGAGCTCCTCAGCTTTCTCAGGTTGGGGAGGAAGTTCTGTATCCACTCACATACTTGACCATGCAATGGACTGCAGGCAATGAGAAGTAAATTGCTGTGGGATTGTCTTCACTCACATGTTTTTCCCCAATAGGGTTTCATTTTCATATGAAGTTGCCAACTGTTATCAGAAAATTGAGATTTTAATATATTAGGCACTCTGGAAGTTCATGTACAGATATATGTATACTTTTTTCCAGATATTCACAGCAACATCCAGATATCCATCACAAAACTCAGAACCCAAACTAGGGCACTTGTTTCTTTTTTAAGTTATAAAAACATAAATTAAAAAACCCCACAAGTACCATAATTTGAGCACTTAGTTTGAACTTAAAATGCTCTGAGCAGTTTACAATTTAATTATGGAGGCTAAACATTGCCCCCTCCCCAGCAAGCTTGGATACTCAATTTACCAGCCTTGGAAGGATGAAAGGCTGAGTCAACCATGAGCTGGCTTCCTCAGCGTGTCAGGTTATGAGCAGAGTTTTTGACTGCAGTGCTTCAGTTTACCACTGTATCACAAGCCTCACTTGTGCTTGGCTTCCATAATTAAATATTGGAGTTCTGTGTAATAGTAAGCAAAAAAGATGGACATCTAAATACTTTGAGAATAAATGAGGCAAGCTAAATTAGGAAAATGAAAAATTGATAGTAAGGATAGTCAAGTTATGTGCTAGATCTGCCACTCACCCACTTTGCAGAGTTATGCCTCCTTTTTCCTCCTTCAACAAATGACTGGGATGTCTGTGATGATGGCAGAGATTTAGCATCTGGTGTTCTCATAGTAATGGTAATGTGGGGGTATTTATCCTGTTTAGTTTATCCTGTCAATGGAAGATATTTTTAAGACAATACTTTGGGTCCTTCATTGTTTTGAAAATGTTAAGAGGAAGCTGAGTTGGGATGGGAGTCTCTAATTCTGTGGAGTTAGATAGCAGATCTATTTTCCTATATTGCTCTTCAGGTTTTGCAAACATGCATACTGGAAGATGAGCACTGAGCAAATTATATTCACATTTATTCAGAAATATGCCCCATTTTGATCATTTTATTCCAAAGTTAATAAATATAGGTGGGCACCCTAAAGGATCACACATTCTGGATGATGAAATCCAGAAGAAAGCAAACAGTTAAAAACAAAAACTTTTCTTTTCCTAGCTGAGCCAAAGTGTATCTGTCAAAAACTCAGTGCATAAGAATCGTTTTCTCAAATTGTTGTCCTTTCCAAGAATGAGGCCCACAGCCAAAGTTGTCTAGATCAGGATGACATTGGAAAGTAAATGTGTGTTACCTTGGCTTTTCTTAGTATTTGAAACAAGAGATAGGCCTCATTCTGTACAGGAAGAGTTCTTTTCGCTGCCCCAACACACCCACAGGAACTGCATTAGTTCAAATTACTCATAAAGCTCTTATTGTGCCTTTCTATTGTTCAAAATCTCATCCTCCTCCCTTCACATAATGGAATAACCTGTCCTTCCAGTCCTGGGTTAGTGAACTGAAAGGTGTTGCTAAACCTTACGTTACCAGGATGAGCAGGACCACTCCTACTAACTCTTCCACAATACAGATAGCACATCACACAGAAGTGGGTTATGATAGCTATGCATGGTTTGCACCTTATTATTGGAAGTATAGTAAGGTGCAAACAATGCATAGCTATCATGTGCGTTTAGTCGTTTAGTCGTGTCCGACTCTTCGTGACCCCATGGACCAGAGCACGCCAGGCCCTCCTGTCTTCTACTGCCTCCCGGAGTTGTGTCAAATTCATGTTGGTTGCTT